AAAAAAAAAAAATTCAGTTAAAATTTTCAAGTAGAATACGCAAAATATTACAGAATATTTTCATTATATCTCTGTTCAATATGTTTATTAAGAATATTATTAGGGTAAATATCTTGCAATATAGATTTTTGAACCTGTAAAGTGAATATTGATCGCAGTGATGCATAAAAAGAACTATTCTCAGAAGTATAAATTAAGGAAAGTAATTAATCAAAAATATCAAAAATACAATTTACAAATAACCTCACTTATAAAATACAATATAGGCATATATTTAGATGTCAATGAAGGTATAAAATTGAGTATTGCAATTTGATATTTTTATTGCAATTGCACTCTGATGTTTGCAGGGCACTTCAGATACTTCAACAGAATAAGTACATATCCTGATCTTACTGTTTACAATATTATAACAGGTCATCTTATCTTGTATTTTTTACTAAAAATTCATTATTAACACCTGTTTCTTTAATAAAATTTGCATTCACTCTTTTTCAGCCAAAGCACAAAAAATGTTTTGCAACACATAAGTATTCAGGATATTTATGCGCAATTCTAAGTAGCCTCTACTCATAGAATCTTTTATATTTATTTCTATAAACTAAAATACTTGTACTATATTGTATGCTTATGTTTTTATGAAAATAATATCTTTTAAAATGCCAAAACTACGTTCTACATAATTATTTGTATTATTCTCTCAAGTTGATAATTTAACTTGAAAGAATAATGCTTAATACTGATGATGTTCCCATAAAGATTCAAAATGTTTTTAAAGTAAAGGGTAAAAATAATAAATGTCTGTGTAAATTCATAGTAATTTGAGTCTATTTCTGAACTTAATAATGTGTAAAAAATTTTTTTCATCTTGTTCATTATAGGCATTTTATCTTTCTTTTTTAATCTTATGTTTAGCATCATAAAGCTACTTTCAAAATGCTTGTAGAATGTGAAACATGCATAAAAGTCAGATTCTTACAATGTTTCAATCAAAAAGATAAAGAAATAAGGTGTTAATATTAATATCAAACTTTAAAATTTAAAAAATTAATTTTTTTTATTGAATTTTAGATACATACCTTGAGGCTAACATGTTTTTAAAGCATTATATTTTGCATTAGAATTATCTGTTAGAAAAATAATTAGACCTAATGAACTGCATCCAAAAAATGCATTTTCAGGAAGAATTGTCTTAAATAAATTTATTGCCTTTTCTAATGTAATTTCAAGTTCATTTGAAGTGATAAACAATCTGAATAAAAAGGCACTGATTGTGCAACTAGTATATAGAAAAGTAATTGACATGTTAAGCTGTTCAAATGAAGCTGAAGTATCCATATAACACAGCTCTCCTACTTGTAATATTAT